GTACGTGTCAAAGTTATCTTTTTCATTTGAAAGCCTCTAGGCCCTCTTAAATTTTACTTGCAGGCCATTACGTTGCAACTGCCCGACGGACACTACGGGTTGGGCTAATAATTTCGGCTGATAAGGAGAGAGGCTTTTGTACGCCGAGACTCGATACCACTTTGATAATCCTTGGAGCATCGTTCCCAGAGGATCCTCTACTCTGTCACGGTACTTTATATGGCTTTCTTTGGTTTCCTTCGAATCCGACTTAAAATCAGGATTTCACTTTGGTTGTTATATTGACTAATTACGAGTACGCCCTAGAGTTAAGAGCCCGTGAGCCTAAACGTATCCTTAGCTACCCATCGAGTCTTCTCGATCGTTGGCACACGCGGTGGTACGTGGAAATTTAGAAAACGCGAAGCAAAATAATCCGAAAGCGTTAATTTTGTGAGACGGTTTTATACGAATGCATCTCCTTTGGCTTCTTTGAGCAGGTCCATCCAATAGTACTGAAATCAGTGTCCAACGTTTTTTAAATTGGAGCGCCCGGAATAAGAAGATTCCTTTTTTATGCAGTAAACAATATTTTGGAGAAAGCGTAAAAGAGTGAAAAGAAACAAACGTCTCTAGAAAGTATGTACAATAAATCGCATTTGAACAGAGTATAAACTGTAAGCTATACGAAAAAAAGAGCTTTTCCTTCAGCAACATGCAGTTTCGTTTTTTTTTTTCGCTATCCTTAATTTTCTTTGATATTCCCATAGGCTTCGAATAAAGTCTTCCGTCCCTGTTCTCGTACATTCCGAATTCTCGAAGCAGCTGCCTTCGCCTTGTAGACCATAGTCTCTATCAATGCTACTCACTCCATATCCAAGTCCAGAATTTGGCCTCTTTGTAATTCGTAGCGAAGGAGTGGACTGCGAGAACGTGAAGAATGGCGATTCCGACGACGTTGCGCCAGATGAGTGGCTGCACCCCCTGGGGCACCTCCTTCGGAAGCGGAATCGGCTCAGAAACGGCGGTGCTCCCCTCCGTATTCGATTTCTTTGGCGGCTCCTCAAACTGCGTCACGGTCGAGGAGTACATCGCTAATGCTCTTGCGAACTGTACAAAGAACGATAAAAATTATCAAATAAATATGATAAAGTAAATCAATGGAAGCACAAGATTTTATATGGCAGATCTCTTACGAGGTTCAATCGAGCGGACACGCGGAGGCTAGTTGTTACCCAGTACGCTGCGCAGCTACATAATAATATAATATTTAGAAGCATGCGTTGCGCCGATTCTTTAATTTTCCAAAGACTTTTGTTCATTCGTCCGATTGTACATGAGACGCATTAACAGCGTTATACTTTTCACGTGCATAGGGCTCTTGCAAAGGAAAGAACTCTATTACCCAATCCCCTCTGCTCTTCTGCTCTTCTGCTCTTCTGCTCTTCTGCTCGCGATTCCATCTTATGATATTCAACGTTCCCCACGTCAACTTGAATCGACTTCTGGAAATCCGCACTTCCTTAGTCAGTTATTGTTCAATATATTGTAGATTGTCGCGGACCACTAGACAAACCTGTTATTCGAAGAGATCAGCATTTGGCGATTCGATCAACTGGGACACTTTTCCGATTAAGAGTGTCAATTCAGTAAATTCAGGAGAGTGCTATAGGGTAGGGTGGAGATCGAATATTGGATCAGAACTTTGAGGATTCGAAAAGGGATTTGATCTTGCATAATGGAGAAAGTTTGATCGAGTGCGTCGAACATAGGAGCGGTTCTCTCTGACAAGTAGGAATGCAGCCGGCCAATTCTAAGGTTCCCGATCCTCCATCTACTTTCATCTTGAAGGTATCAAAAACGCATCAAGGTAAGAAGAAGGAGAAGAAGAAGCAGAAGAAAGGCACGCGCATACATTGTTGCACCGACAGATTTGGAAGCAACAAAATCAGCAAAATCGTTCTCATTGCAATGACACTGTGTATATGAAAAGTCATTAATCTTGTGGCTTTTCAGAAATAAGAATTATTATAAACGCGAATAATGATCAACGCTCGCTGTCGTATTAATAGAAGCATAATGATAATCGTTTAAGCATTTGAGCATGAATCTCCTTCTTCCACCGTGGAATCATCAGCAGTACCCACCTTCCTCTCCATTAATCGCTACACTCTCCGCCGTTGACTCTGGAAACGCTCGCTCTTCGCCCGAAGATCGACGCCAATTTCCGATTTCATAATAAAGCATCCTCGCGATTTATTCTTATACCGACGAGATGGGAATAAAGTTAAACATTTTTTTTTTTTTTTTTTTTTTTTTTTTTTTTTCTTCACTGCAACTGACTGCGCCTGGCTGCGACTGAGAAAGACCCTGTTGCATGTGATTCGTACCGCGAACATAAAATCTCATTTGAAAATGATCGGATGGATCCTGCGCGATTTCATTGTGTTGACTTTTTATAGTGCAGAAGGGAACCTCGTCTACATTCAGGAATGCTTCTTCTCGTCGCTTTCCTTTCCTTCTAGTCTTTGCTGTAAATTCTTTACACTCATTATTTGCTCTCCTCACACCGAAATGGCAGAGCTACATTTTACGAAAGATCATTCACCTTGACAGACTTTATAAGAGGTTAATGGAGCGATAAGCGTCGGTCACACCGAGAACACCGGACGATCATCGGGGATTGACGGGCCGCAGCTCACAGTTCCTGGCTGTGAAACCTCCTGTTTATTATCTTAACGGCATTTAATCGTATCGGTATAGTATACATATACATAGTGTATAGAGGACAATACGTAATCGCAGGTAATACTGGAAGATGCGGACTCGTAGACACGAGCGACGTGCGACGTGCAACGTGCGACGTGCGACGTGCGTACTTTTGCCGCGAGCTAATTCTTTTCTTCTCTTTTCTCATAATTTAAATTCTCCGTCTTTGACAAGATCGGATCAGGATGTAGATAAGTTCTCGCTGCCTGCATTACTAATGACTCCAAGTTCTAAGCTGCCGATGTCCTTTCTCCTTGCCGATCCATCGTTGATCCATCACAGCACTGAACTCCAGGATTTTCTCTTGGCTCCTTTCCGATATACATACATATAATACATATATTATGTAATAGCCCGGAGATTCGCTGCGGGCACCGGGACGCAACTCGACGCAACTCGACGCAACTCGACGCAACTCGACGCAACGCCGATCGACCTCCGCTTCCGCGTTCTCACGTCTATACCCGCGCAGAAGAGTCGGTGGTACTAGTAATACCGGCCGGGAGTAACGGCGGCTGCTTATCTCATGTTCTCAATTACGATACAGTGTGGCGCACTTTCGTTTTCTCAAACCACTTGCGCGTGTTACATGGGCGATCGATCGAAACAAGAAGAACCAAGAGACAAGAACATCGAGTCCCGGCGCCTCACATTTCCTGGCGGCTTTCCTCGTAATGATCGCGATCAGGACTTTGGCTCGAATGTATTTCTATCTGTTCTCAGTGTATATAGAATTACCATAGATAAGAGGGGAAGAAGGTAAGGAGAGACGGAGGAAAGGAGTGAGCGGATCCAATTGGGAAAATGGCTGAAAGTGGCAGGACATGTGGTTACGGTGAAAACTAAACGTCGGCAGAATTGAGTCGACGCCGGGCCTTCAAAGATTACATGCTATTTGCGAGTACCTGGAAAGTGGGTACTGGGAAGTGGGAAGTGGAAAGGGAGAAAGGGGGAAAGGGGGAATTCGGGTCGCTTAACCAGTATTGAAAAAAAGTTAACTTCTCGACATGCGGTGCAACATTGGCAACGCTTTCGCCCGATTGTTATGTAATTGACACAGGATGCCGAGCGAAGGTAATTGCGCAGTTATATTCCCTTTACAGCTTACAGTCTGGCTCCCGTTACTTAAACGCGGACACCCATATGCAGTGCTTCTATGTGATCGTATGTGCTCGCGCCCACTGAGTTCCTTATGTACCATAGAAATCGAAAATTTCGAGATTCAATCGCCCGATAAACATCGACGTCAATATCACCGGTCCTTGACTGCGCATCCGAAAAAGAACTCCAATTACGCAATAAAAGAATTTTCTACGTTTTTCCCTCCTTTCTGTATCGAGCATCTACACGGAAGGTCCCAGCAGTTTTTCTAATCAGCATGTTTTAGAACGGGAGTCACACTCGCCTCGTACGTCGGTTCGGCTCGTTCGAGCTCACTGTTAATTACGTGATGGACCGGAAGGCGGAGACCGTACGGAACATTTAGAAACTTGGAAGTCGCTTGTCAGACGTCTCTTGAGGGGCTATATACGTAATATTATACATTATTAAGAGCGAGAGTGGAGTCGATTGGAAATTAAAATTGGAATATTTCAGATCGCCGAGTCGCGGATTGTAGATCGTGGATCGTGGATCGAGGATCGTGGTAATGTACGGCGGCAGCGTAGAGACGCGGATAGAAAGGCGATTCCGTTCTGAGCGACGAATAATTTACAACCGATAGGTCACCATTGAGAAAGCATATAACGGCCCTCGTCTTACATGAGAAACCGGTTACCGTACGATTCCTGACTTCCGGTTGCAAATGCTCCAATTACGGAAAAGTAACAAATCTTGGAACTAAAGTGTCGCTTTTTACTATTATATCATTAGCCCTTCGGCGAAGCGCAAGGATTCTTTCTTTTTCGTTTCAGATCTTATCGCTCTTCGAGTGTCGGGCAATACCGTGAAAGTTTATTTCTCGTGATCTGGATTCCTCTCGACTCTTTCGACTTTGGCATCGGAGCAGTGGACATTGTAGTCCACTGGGAATTTGCTTTATTCGACACTTCATCTGACAGTTACGATCACCTTAAATCAATAGTGTCTCCTGCCTTTTCAGTTTTACGAGGGTCCTTCGATTCTTCTTGGTGCAAATACAAATTCCCCCCCGCCCTCCTCCTCTTCTCCTACACTCATTCATCTTATCCTCGTTAAACGAAAAAGAGAAACCAGCCTTGATACCTAAGCAACGATTGACCTCTCTTTATATTTACACAGCTGTGCAATGCATGCGAATTGTGGGAAAAGCACTTTCCCTATATCGGCGAAACTGCTCTTTACAATTTCGCAGCAAGCGTTCGGAAAATGTTGGGAAAAAGCATCGAGCAGGTTGCTGACAAGTTGTTTTATGTTTTTGAAGTTTATGTCAATGTCAGTCGCAATTGCAGATTCGCCTTAATGGCAGCACACTAATCAAAACTGATCAGTTATTGATCGGTAACTTAAATGAAACATTTTTCACTCGGGCAGTTCAATTGTCACGCGCATCTGCGCCATCGAGCCCTTCAGAATAATCACGAAAGATCACATTGCACTTGAAGAATTAAGCATTGTCTCTTAGGAGGTACTTACTATTGTAACTGGCCGAGAAAGTAAGCTCAATGCTTTTCTCCTTCCATTTTCTTTCCTCTTTTCGATTCTAGGTGCGCTTTCACTAGATTTCATGAGGTTCTGGACATTTTCTTTAATTGTAATCCCCGTACCTCCGAGGACTTCATAATATGGGTATAGCGAGAGAAAAGAAAAAAAGAAGAAAAAAAGAAAAAAGAAAGTAAATTCAATAATCCTATATTGATGTTATAGACCGATTCTCCTTCCTTGAACGGAGAAGAATGTATTTTGAGAATGCAATTTTCCACTAGCCTAGAAACATCTCGTAGCTGTGCTACATTTTGGGATCCCAAATGTTTACATTGCACTGTAAAATCCAGAGACATTATGAATCGATGGACCGTGAAAAAAAGAAAAAAAGCACTAAGGAGTCCAGCAGTTTGACGTATTTGCCAGTTCTGACCGAGATGAATTATTATTGTCGGTCAGAACTGGCAAATTGTAATTGTAATTGTAATACCTTAGCATAGTAAGGAGTAATGGTCAACTCACTGAGGCGCTTCTGGTAGACGGCGACGACCCGTAAAGATTGTTAGCAAGTTTTAAAAATCGAAATGGGACCACTTATTGTCACTTATAGATTTTATAAAGTTGCTCGAAGGGTTAATGCGATTAATTGATGAACGAAAGGAGCCTTGTGGCTCATTTGGAATTTTCACGCTCATTCTCATGCCACCACGGGGCTTATAAAGACTTGGGCCGGGCAGTTTGTACGGGGAGCGCAGAGATGGTGGTGGCACAGGGCGCACGAGGTCTAGCGAAACGCCAAGAGAAAGAGAGAGAGAGTGAGAGAGAGACAGTCGGGGAGAAGAGGAAATGTCTTCGGGGCCAAACTAACCTTTCTTTTAACGTTTCCTCTACCTCCTCTCTCCAATCCCCCTACATCCTTTCAGGTAAATCGGCTACAGCATCCTCCCCCCCCCTGCCGCCGTTACCGTTGCTGCAACTGGCCTTAATGTCACACTCATCAATCTCACGACTCGACGAACGATAGTTTAGAAATTTGGATACAGATATGTGCGATCTCAGGCACGTACGCCTTCTCTCTTTCTCTCTCTCTCTCCCTCCCTCCCTCCCTCCCTCTCCTTCTCCCTCTCCCTCTCTGCGGCAAGAATTCTGTTCTAAAATCTCTCATCGTTATTTGACAATAATGATAACATAAGTTACATCCACGTTTCCCATAGAAGTGTGTTAAAAAAATACGGTTTAAATATTTCGTACACCATAAAATAATTATGAAAATTCTTTAAAGTAACTTTTATCGTTTGACAACGATTAGAAGTTCTCCCGGGAAAGAACATGTCAGCATACCAGAAAATCATATGAATGTCTTTTTCTTTATTGGTACATTGATCGAAATCGTTAATGTACCTGATAATCTGCAGAAGGTCATCAATTCGTTTACTGTGGAGACGAGCATTTAAATTTCCAATTCATTAAATAAAAGGCCAAAGGAAATCCAACAAAATATTAGCAGTGTCTCTGGCAATACAATAGTCAAATTCATAAACAGTGGATGAATATTTTTTCTTCCTATTTCTCCTTTCATTATTCATTGTTCTCCATTTTATTTGACTGTTTTTCAGACGATTGGTTTTTGCGTTTCTAGCATTTTCTTCTTTATAAATAAATGTTTCTTTCTATGTATAAACTAATTTATATTGCTCTCTACAGTCTCCTGTTATATTCATCATTTATGAATACTTTTAGTTACTGACTGCGTATTGCATATGTGCTTTTTACTGATAATTGTATCGATAACATTCGGCGTGTGTTGCGGTTCCTTGCTACTTAGCAAAAAATCTCTCATACGAACCTCGAAACTTGCTTCGTTCCATTTCGTAGAATAAGCTTGAAAGTGATAATTGCAAAGATGCCCGAATTGATGCAGCTTGATCACCCAGATTAGGCTTACAATAATTAGCGCGAACAAAGTGGTAAACATAAAATCTGTTTTCAGTCGAATTCTTCGAAATACTGCTTCAACGAGCAGGTATAACAATATGTGCAAAAATATCTTATAATAACAATGCCGTTCAGCTTTGCGTAGTTGGCAAATATTTTTATTGCAAATTTTCAGTAAAATTAACTTCATTCACAGTAACTATCACATATCAGTGATGTGATTTTTAATGAAGTTAGCATAAGTTTCACTTCATATTTATAACTAGCCGAAAAAAAAGTTTTCAACATTAACATTTTTTGTGTGCATTTTACTTTCACCTACATATCGATGGAGTCGTATAAGGGTATTCTCGAGGTAATAAAAAATATTTGGCAGTCATTTGCGTCACGCGCTATCAACGCTGCTCAGGCATCCTCTCTCTGTCTCTCTCTCTCTCTCTCACTCTCTCTCTCTCACTCTCTCTCTCTCACTCTCTCTCTCTCACTCTCTCTCTCTCACTCTCTCTCTCTCACTCTCTCTCTCTCACTCTCTCTCTCTCACTCTCTCTCTCTCACTCTCTCTCTCTCACTCTCTCTCTCTCACTCTCTCAGGCATCCTCTCTCTGTCTCTCTCTCTCTCTCTCACTCTCTCTCTCTCACTCTCTCTCTCTCACTCTCTCTCTCTCACTCTCTCTCTCTCACTCTCTCTCTCTCACTCTCTCTCTCTCACTCTCTCTCTCTCACTCTCTCTCTCTCTCTTTCGGCGTAGTTCCTCGAATCGTTACCCGAATAGGATTTCATCGCCGGCCTTTGAGTACAAAATTTCCCACCATCGCACTTCTTCCTACAGCAACTCATTTCATCTCTCTGCATTATATCTTTGGCGGTCTCCCGGCTCATATCACTCTTGCGCCTTCTCTATCTATTTTTAAGAAATTATTATTTTCTCATCTTTTCTCCTTGGAAGTACACGAGTTAGGTGGCGTACCTTAACGTTCTAGGCCTTCTTATCGGTGCACTCTCTTACCCGCAAAATGCGGTGAAGGGACTCTCGTGCAATGCAATTCCTCTATATATCTATACTGTATATTTTATTTTATTATTGCATCCAGGCGTATTAGATTAGATTATGCGATTAATTTTATCTAGTTATTTGTTCTCTTTATGTTTACTGTTTATTACTACGGAAACTCATGTGTGCTTATTGTACCTATCATTACGTGTAATCGTTTGTATCTCAACCTTGCCAAAAAAGCATTGCTATGGCATAAATAAATCCAATCAATCACTCTCTCTCTCTCTCTCTCTCTCTCTCTCTCTCTCTCTCTCTCGTATGGACGATTCCATCGTCAGTGTCTAAATAATATTTTCACAAGCATCTCGTTTTTGGCACGTCGGTTAGTTGCGTCGGTTTCTCCTTAGGTTCTGAGCCGTAGATATGTGGATGAATACATAACCGTCTTCCTCAGAATTTGGGGCATTGGTAAAAAGGAAAAAATGATTGCAAATTATTGTAGCGAGCTGGGCTGACGAGCATTATTATTATTATTTCTGCAATGTACCTGGGTAGGGTTAAACGTTCGTTTTTTACAGTGGAATCTCCACGAATCAACCTCCTTCTCGTTTGCTGCTCACTGATATACAGCTTACAATTAGAATCACTTTAGACATGGTAAACTGATAAATTGGTAAATAGATATAGATATAGCTAAGTATAAAGCACAGGCAGCGTTACAAGGGAGACAAGTCCGAAGGGAGCTAATATTGAAATTAGCGCATAGGTTATCTTGGCTAATTTCAGAGACGATTATGTCGAATTTGTCATGTCGGTCCATTCGTTGGTCTCAAATATTCTAAAGCGGGATCGATTAGCGGACTTTTATTTTCCTGTGGAACGCACGCTGGTTGAAGGAACTGGCCAGCCGAGAGGACAAGTGGATCTATGCAGAGCGCGCGAAAGTAGTATTGACCTTACCTACCAACCTACCAACCTACCTGTTTACCTACCTACACCTATCATCGCACTAGCGTCAGTGCTGTCATTACGGGCACTACTACGTCAACGTGTGTATATGCCATTACCCATGGTTCCGTGTCTCCATGCGACACTCTCTGTCAGCGACACTACGAAGTGAAGTACGAGTGCCCACTCCACTGCTCCAATCTGACCGAACATTCTACGGAGCGACGGTAACGCGCCCGCTGAGAGCCACCGAACCGTGGGGGAAGCCTTCCCCCCTGTAGCCACGGTGTAACTTAGAAAGGGAGCACCACGGGGACCCGAGCAAAGTCGACTGTTTTTTTCTTTTTTTCTCTCTTTTTATATCGTTCTATGGTCGCTTACACAACGCGCCTAATAAGAGTCACGAATAAACACATATGAGCCGGCGCAGGTCGTTCGCGATCTCATACACAAAATATGATCAAGCGTAACAACTGCCTATCCATGTAGTGTCGTGGATTGACGAATGTGCCTGCGCTCAAATGTTCAATACAACACTTCTGTGTGCTTTACAGGGATAAACACGGTTAGTTCTTATTGCATAAGCGACAGTTCTCTGAGGATTATTTGTATAGTAGTATACTTTCTCGTTTGGATTTAGCACTTATCGTATACATATATTATTATAGTGATGTAATTATCTAATTACTCAGTCCAAATATCTCCGCTGTCGTTGCCGCTAATCTTCATCGCCATCGTCAGCGTCCTCTTTTCCTCTTGTTTGGCTCTTATGCAAAAACCTTCGCGAACCCTAAGAGGATTCTTGAGATCGGCGGGAATCTAACGCTTTCGAAGAATTCTGCAAATCGATTTCAAAGTGGTTGGACGGTGGCGATACCGGCGAGGGGCCTTTAACCGACGTTATCTTTAGGGACTAATTATTATCCAACTGCACAAGAGTCACGTCGGTTGCGCTTTGGTTGCGACTCGAAAATTATTCTTACCTCTGTCTTTCACACTCCCTCCTAGAGCCCTGCCCTCCTGCCCTCCTGCCCTCCTGCCCTCCTGCCCGTCTCTGGCATCATTGTCCGCTGGATACATTCATGGGGCATAGGAGTTCGTGTTGTTACGTCAGTTACGCATTACGCTCTCGAGAAAGAAAATTCGTTGTATTCGTTTGTGAAACTCACAGTCGGTTACTATAGACTGATGCTTAGAGGTATGGCGCTGGCACGTGGTTACAGCGATTGGCCAATTTAGTACACTGTTGAAAAAGTTAAGAAATTTACAACACAAAAGATGAAACTTACTACATAGGTGCATATAATATTTAGAATATAGGTAACGCAAATGAGTATTAATGTACATTGTTTTGTAAAATTGTAATCAAGCATTAATTTTATTATGCGTTCAGCGAATATAATATATTCGACTCTGATTATTAATAAGAGGTTCAAGAATTTTCAATCAACCGTAATGCAATCAGCCATTTAGGACTGAAAATTACAATATTGTATTGTAATATTACTGTTCGATGACTTCACTTTTAATGTACAAGTTATTTAACATTCAATGGTGTTTTTGAAATTTCATAAACGGTTTCTGTAAAAGAGCTTCCTGCACATGTTTATGAATTTTACCACAGATTTGTTTAACAGTGTAATCAGTGGCTATATACTGGCTGCCTTGCTCCTTATTGTTGTTCGCGGCACTTTAGCAGCCAGCCAACCATCGGCTCCTCGTATTTATTCTTCTTTTCTCATTCTGTGTCAGGTCTTATGACACATATACGGCGATACTTCTCGAGGTAGATGTCGGCTTAGCGATACAGTTAATATGCCACGCATCAACGGATGGTAAAGCACTACAGTACCTTTCTACTTGGACAGTACCGTCGCCCTTTATTACGAAGCTTTCTGGGGTCAGTCGTACGGGTTCGTAAGAACAACAATTCAGATTTTTCATTGGCCGAAATTTTGAAATTACAAATTTTCACCAATTAGAAGTCTATAGTTTTTCGAGTTTCCGACTATTCCAATTAATCCGACTGACCTAGTAAGGCACCTTTATGCCGCACGGAATTAAAGAAAATTAGGA